GGTGTTGTGGGAAAAAGGCCTCCCCTGGGAGAAGGAATAAGGGCCACAGTGCCAGGGGGGCCAGGGATCTGCGAAGACTGGGAAGGAGGACGGAGGAAGGAGCTGCCAGCAATGATGGTCCCGACCACCCACAGGTTGCTGGGACTGAGGGAGCCCTCGGGAAAGGGGCTGAGTCTCCCCGAAGGCCGTGCGACTGGACCATTCTCTCATGTAGTTACCCCAGGGACCCAGAGGAAGGTGCTCTTATCACACCCACTTCACAGATGTGGAAACTGAGGACCATAAAACCCTGCTAACAGTCACAAAGCTAGCGGAAGGTAGGGCCGGAACTGGGACCCAGGTACACTGCACCCCAACATCCGAGCTCCCTTTGTTGAACCAGGCAGAGGGGGTCTCCTCCTAGAGGCCTGCTTTCTACCGGCTATGGCCTGGGCTCCGGGGCCACATGCCAGGCCCCACTGCTCACTAGCTGGGTTTCGGGGTAAAGAAAAAGAGAACACTTCATAGGGCTGTTGAAAACGCAATTTAATTAAAATGAAGTATTCGAACAGCTTAGAAGAGTACCTGGCACATGCTAGTATTCAGAAAACATTAGCTTTATTGTTCGCTATTCAGAGCATCCCAGGTCTCGGGGGGTTGTCTGCTCCCAGGAGCTGGGGGCCTGAGCCTGCCCGGGTTGCAGAAGCCACACCCAGGATCCTCTCCATCCCAGGCCTAGTGTAATGGCAGCTCAAGCATTCTTGGGGGCATGAGCTTGGTGCTTCAAAAAGATAAGATGGTACCCACACATACCTGTGAAAATTCGCTCATCAAACATCCTGGAGAGAGAGGAGAGATGGGCATGAGAGCGGTGTAGCTGCAGGGATCCCCCAGGCTCAGGGTCCCTTCAGTGACGGTCACTTGAGTCTCACATGCATGGCTATAGCTGCAGACCTGGGCCGGGCTGTGGCCGCATGAGGACAGGAGAGAGTGGGGTCCGGAACAGACAGATACCCCAACAGCCAGATACCCAAAACCATTTCTCCTCAGCCAGGGAAGGCATGGGCAGGCCCCCGGGGGATTCTGGATGGTCCAACAAGCTCAGCACGACGCCTCAGGGGCCTCCTCCAGCCCTGAGCTCTCCTTGGCCACAGCTGGTGGATGACTCACGCCTTTCCCACCAGGGCCCGGCAGGCTTTTGCCCAATCCTGCCTGTGTCTCAGGGACAGTCATGGAGAGACCCTGCTCCCAAGAAGCTATCTGGTGACTGCATAAGCTAGGCCTGTCATCAGGTCACAGACATGCAAGATGACACCTGGGACCCCTCATGTGTCTCAGAAGCCCAGGGGGCCCAAGCAGAAAGGGAGTCGGGAAAGACTTCAGGGGAGGGATGGCAAACGGGTGAGATGGCTGAGAGGTTCTCTAGATAAAGGCACAG